AGTTGGCAGTGTCCTGCGTTGGCTGGCGTGCTGCGCTTTCTCCCTCTCTCTCTCTCCCTGCCTGACAAACACGCACACACACAGACGCACACACATACACAACCCCCACACCCCCACAGATGCACACACACACACACACAGTCCCTCTGCGATCCCCCTGACTGAAGGCACACAGGAAGTGCAGCCGTGGCCCAATTATAGCGTGACACCTCGGGCCGGCCGTTGCCATGGTTACGTCTTCCCTGCGGTCCCCTGGAGTGTGGCGCCGAGGAAGAAGGTCTTATCACATCAGCCATCGTTACGGCAACAAGCAAAAACCCACCCTGTAGCCTCAGTCCAGCTGGCTGTGTATTTTGTTTATAATGTGTGTGTGTGTGTGAGAGAGAGAGAGAGAGAGTGTGTGTCTATATATGATCTTCACTTGTGAATAAAAAGGGAAATTGCATCAGTGTGTGAACGCAGTGTTTGTGATTGTGTGTGCGTGTCAGGTTAGGTGTGTTCGAGTGCATGCACTGGACTTGCCAAGGCAGCGTGTAGGTGTGTTTGTGTGTGTGTGTCTGTGGGGTTGCGATAAGGCTCTCAGCCACACCATTAGGTGACTCATAATCCACACAACCTCACACACACACACATGAACACACGTGTGTGCATGTGTACGAGCAGAAACACGGTGGCTAACAGACACACACACCCAATTAAATATGAACACACACACACACACACACACACACGCACAGATGTAGTATAAACCCAGCCTGTAGACAAGTGCACATGGCCAATTTCTTTTATTTCAAAAGGGCAAACAGAGCTATACAGTACAAGTTGCACATGAAATAATTTAGCCTAGGCTGAACTCATTCATTTCTTACTGATGCAGTGACGTCAGAACAACAGAAACAAAACTCCCCATTAGAAACAAAACATTTGGCTCCTTTTTTTAATGTTGAAACACAATACATCCAAACTGGAAAGGGATGTAAAAAAAGACATAATGTTTTCCAGATATTTACAGTCTATTTACAGCATTTTTGTCGTCACCTAAATATTGACACACATTGGTATCCTTCTTTCTCTCCTCTCCAATTCACTGATTGTCAAAAGAAAGGATGGGAACGAGTGTGGACATTCTTAAACGGAGCTGCAGCTCCTCATTAAACACAAGATCTGAGGATCTTTGAACCACAGTCCGAGTATGTTAACATGGTGTCCTGTGTGTTTTTGTCAAACTGCAGCTCCTCAACAATCATCCAACCAGGATCCTCTGACAAATGCTGCCACCACATACATTACTATCCGTCCAAGGCGCCGTTGCTTCTCTCCTGTGCCAGACCCAAAGTAAAGTCGGAGCCCCTTAGATCAAACCCAGACACTCTGCTCTCAAACCCAGGACCTCCCGGCTTCCTCTTCAGCTCCTCGCACTTCCTGTATTTACAGATCTGGTGTCCCCTCTTGCGATTGCGGCAGCTGCTGCACTGTTCGCAGTTCGTCTGACGCCGACAAGGTACGCACTCCCCGCACCTCTTCCTCTTCCTCCTCCCTCCGCTGCCCCCGCCCAGAGAGCCAGGAGAGTAGCCCTCGGCCACCAGCCCTTCGATGCCCTCAGCACCCATGGCCGCGCTCCTCCAGTGGCCTCCCCCCATCTGGAAGCCTGCCAGGGGGAACAGAGCGGGGCTGAAGGGGAACCAGGCACCCAGGAAGGGTTGGAAGTCAGTGCCACATCCAGAGGAGTCCTCTTCCTCCTCCTCAGGCCCTGATCCACCTCCCTCCCCGTCCCCGTTCCCCCCCTTTGCCTCTGCAGCCTCCCTTTTAGCTGGCTGGCTGCTCTGTGCACCCAGGCCGGCCTGCTCTGTGGTGGCGGGGGTCAGAGCCAGCAGCCCGGCGCGCATCAGCAGCTCTGCGGCGTGGGCCAGGTGGAGCCCGCTGGGTGACTCCCACATGTCAGGCCAGGAGGGGGCCCGGCGAGGCTTAGTGTGCGCAGGCTGGGCGGCCTGCTGCTGGGTCGGGGAGGGCTGGATCAGGCCTTTGACATCCACGGCTGGGGAAGGGGTGGAGATGTAATGGGAGAGGCTGTAGGGGTGGTTGGAGCGCTTTAGGCTGGGTCTCAGTGGCTCATTGGGGATTTTAGCGCTGCTGTGGGCCTGATCTGGGGAGGAAGGGCCAGCGATGTCTACGGCAGTGGACATAGCAGTGGCTGTGTGTGGGGGTGTCTGTCCTAATGTGTGTGTGTGTGTATGTGTGTGTGTGGGAGGAGAGGTGAGGGAGAAGGGGATTGAAGCCGATGCGGGGTTGACAACCGTCCTGCTGTTACTTCAGCCAAAATGGCAAGCCTTGGCCTGTGTCCCTATTCCCATTCTCTGCAGCAGCCTCAGAGTCCTGGAGAGCTAGAAATGAATGGGGGATGAAGAGAGGAAGGTTAAGAATAGAAATGTTGGAGAGACGGATACAGAAAGAGAGTAAACAGAGGAGATTAGACTGGAAGATATTTCTCAGCCAGCGCCACTAAACACTGTCAGAGACTCAGAGTGTGGAGGATCTGTGTTTAAAGAGAAAAACAACATATATGTATATCATTTCAGAAATAAACAGCTTGAATAGAGATGATCAGAGCCATGTATGAGACAGTGCAAGGCTTGCCCATGATTTCCGCATACAGGAGGCAGTATCCCTTTAAGAATTTCACGGTATATCAATGCAATCAATAACAGAGCGACAACAATATGCAAAGATATGCGCATATGCGCAGGTCAAATGTGGAGCGCGCTTTTCAAATACATTTTGACGACTGCTGTTATGTGTGCCAGCCAAAGCTTAAGCTTCACGGAGGAAGACTAAATAGAGGACCGTAAAAAAACTGGCTGTCTTTTGTCTGGTATCGACGACGAGGAGCGAGGTGCGCAACGATGCGGTTGCTGTGGATAAAAAAAGACCAGGCTATATTCCATGTCCACATTTGTAGCAAATCTACTCCAGTGATTAAACACGGGACATATATGTTGTTACAGGACAACAGCGCGAAGCCTTTTATGGGTCGATTGGGAAACCCGATCGATCATTTCACCGTAATTAAGGTTACCTAAGAAGACGGTGCTCGACCGACGCCACGACGAGCTGACCACAGTCCGAGTGGTCGCTGCGACACGGCGCTGCGCGCAGGAAAAGGCGACAAAACCAAAACAGCGAAAATCAACAGGAAGTATGGGTAAAACGTCTCCCCTTACCTTCTAAATACGGTCCAAACTCTCCTGTCAAACATATGATGAAGTCATGAACTAATGGCGTGGTGATTGTAGTGTATATGGACGGCGGAGCTGCCGATTCCTCCTCCACCTCTCCGTCCCGGAGGGTCTGCAAACACTCTGCACGGAATTTGGGGGCGTCGCTCAAAATGCGAAGTGGACTCTGCAGCCGAGACCGTGGTCAGAGCGACCCCATAATATCCACAGGAACACTTGAACATACACGTACAGCTGTCAGTATCAATATTATAGGAGGACAAATTAAAGCCGGCATTAACAGGCTGTGTGTCTGTCCCACTCTCCAATACAGCCAATGTGTTAATGATGGGCGTTACTACCAAGGGATACCTATTATCACTATGTCATATAAATATTTACCCAACATGTAAACACAGCAACACTAATAAATAAAAACTTTTATCAACATTTTTTAATTTATTTTTTAGGACGTGGACATTATTTATTACAGCTGTCTAATGTTATGACAAAACATATAAAGCTCCATCCTAATAAACTGGCATATGAAAATTGCATTTACAATTCTTGTTTAGTGAATAAAATAACCTGTGGGTTATGTGTTAAAACATGGGATCTAGACTGTGAAGAGTGGAACCAGAATTACAGTCAATACCTAATTTATAATTAGCCTAATTTAAAACACACAGCTAAGTATACAGTGGCAAATTAGTGATGATAGGTGCTTCATCTTTTAGTTTACCTGGAACAGCACATTTACCAACCACAATATAGTGCAAATGTATCAGATATTGCTAAAAAAAAAAAAAAAAAAAAAAAAAGTATTTTTTATTTTCAGTTTGCCTACATGCTGTTATATATTTTAAAAATGCACTATAAGAAAAGATAATAAAAGCAGTAAAATAAAATTAATAATTGCTAAGGGGAAAAAAAGCATATTTTTAGTCTTAATTATAAGTTGTATCTTAACCGGAAGTCCGTGTCACATACCTTTCCATTACAGGTATACTGTTATTCATTAAGGGCATTATGTTGGCCTCTGTGTAACATGTGGTGACATTAATAGTCGTCTATTCTTAAATTTTAAAAAAAATGTAGTGGTTGAAAAATAAAAACTATTTGTCACCAAACAAACTCGCTCTGTGAATCACGTCACTTGTCTTTTAGCAGTCACAGTGTGTTAGCATGATTAGCCTCCATGCTAATGTCGCTGTGCTCCGGTGATAGCCTCCCTCTCGGTGTCGAGCTGTCTGTTAAAGGTGACTCCTCACACGGGGACGGTGGAGTCCACTCCACCTCTTGTGAGAGCCCTCCGTTGCATCTGGCACGCAGCCAGAGACCTCGTGCGTGTGTCTGTGTGTGTACGTGCGTGCGTGTGCGTGTCACTATGGGAGCAGGGGCCCACCGTACTCGCGTACACTGTCTGGCCTGGACTATCCGTGTAAACACAGCGTCTTCTAGTGGTCACCACAAATACTGCCACATCTTAAAATGGCCACTGGTGCTGGTGGACACTGCAGCACGGCAGCCCCCCTCACCTCCAGCCAAGGCCTCACACACACACACACACACACAAGTCCCACTGCAGTCACCACACAGAGCTGTTTACTCATTATCCCTGTCCACTGTTAATCCATAAACACACCGCTCTGCCTGGCTGCTAACAGAGGTGGAGTTGTTCAGCAGAGTGCATTTGATCCTGTGGTTAAAAACAAACAAATGCAGAGTTTGGCCCCTGGCCCTGCAGCGAGAAATGCCTCCTGAAAATAAATCCACAAAGCCGACAAATCAGATCACTCATTTAGTTTTATTCACAATATACAGAACAATGAATCAAGTCAGACAAACCGCAGCCAGTAGAAAATAAATCTAATGAAAAAAGCAAAATATATCCTTTATAAGCAGAGTTCTGCACACTTTACAGATTACATACAAGTTTTCTCAGAAAGCAGATGGTCACTGGTTACAAACAGCAGGTAGTGTCTCAACACCTCTTAAGATTGGATATTATTATTTCATTAAAGACAAAAACAGAACTTAAACTTCTGTTTAACAAAGCAGCTCTTAGTGCAAAAATCATAACGTGGAACATTCATATGTGTGCGTTCAGACTGTGGGGCGTGGGCTCTAGATTTTACTGTAAGGCCTTTGCTGAATTTAAATGAAATACTGGATTGACTGAGGCAAAGAGCTGCAAGTTCATTATGTCTCCACCTGCTCCCACCCGAAAGAGCAGAGAAGGAAGGGGACACAGGTGACGCCAGACGTGAAGGTACGGTACCTGCGTGGTGAAATATTTCACTTCAGTCAGGTCAGAGAGAATTTAAACTACACACTAAGTAGGCTGAAATTCAGCCGTGCAGTCACAGTACCTCCGTGTCTGACGGTGCTGATTGTCAAAGTCCCTTCCTTATCACTCCACGAATGACCTCTGATTTCAAAGTCATGTCGGCTGATGTAAAAAAAACTGTGAAAGTATAAAATCAAAATTCACAACATTTTCAGCACTTTGAGTTTTTGTTCTGGGCTATGAAGAATATCCACTGTTCAATTGTGACAGCATCATACCGTAACCATCAGTGTGACACTGCTATGATGATGATGATGATGATAAATGATTCAACAAACTGGGGTGAGGTTTAAGTGGCTTAAGCATCCTTCTTTTTGATGATGAGCGGTCCAACGTTGTCCCCGGTTTCCTCGTTGTGTTTGGTGTGGGCTCCATCGCAGAAAGGGAACTGTAAGCAAACGCACCGTGTTAGTGGGAAAACAAGTCGCTCTTATCAAGTTGACGCCCTTTGCACTTTATGATATGAGAGAACACTGTTAGCCAATGCTAAGTCAATCTCCCCAAAGTCACCTGAAGCTATGACAGAGAAACAAGATCACTGTAATCAGCTTTCGGGCAGACATGTTAACTGTATCACCCTGACCAAAGACTGTTCTTATCTGTATTCTAGTCTTCTATTCCCCAGTGGTTATAAAGAGTCAAATTATTTAACACGGCAAACTTGGGGCATCTAGTGCTGAGGATGTAGAACTAAATCATCTACCATGTGCCAAGCTTGTAGGACAGCAATGTTGACTGACGTGAAAACATTAACGGCATTATCTAGAGCCAGTGTTTGGTTTGTCTGTTCTGGGCTACTGTAGGAAAACATGGCAGAGTCTTTGGAAGAGGACCTGCACCGTACGTACTCATCAACAGCTCATTCTAAGGTAACGAAAACACGACTCTTATTGTCAGGTGATTATAAACTAATGAAAGCACCGACATAAATATTACATACCATTTATAGGGTAGCAGCAGTAAACCAGTTTACAAGTATACCATGGTATGAAAATCATACAGTGTACATTTGCTTATCTACGATATTGAAAAACATATGCAACTGGACGGAGATTCTCACCTGCATGTGTGCATCTCTTTTCCTACTCAGACTATTATCACATACTCTCATTAAAAATAGTTTCAAGTTTCCATTTATGAAAAAAAACCTTCTGTTTTCAATGCTTTAAAAGGTCACTGTAACTGATAAAGAGAATAGTAATCATGTCATAGCATATACCCTTAAACCAGGGTATTTACCGAGAATGTCATCGTATTAGAATATCTCATATCGTTGCAATCCTACTGCCAATAGATGCCCCTAAATCCTACATACTGGAGCTTTTGGTGATGCCTTAAACTTTGATTTTCCTTGTTCTTTATTCTATGTTCAATAGAAAAATTGCAGATCTTGTTCATGCAGAGGATTTTCCAACATCTCGAGGACTCCAAGTACCACTTGGGTCTATAATTTTTAAATATAACACCTACACAAAATGGTAGCTGCCCACTCTCTTCTTACAAAAGCTAGAAATCAGTGTTACCAAGTGCTTAATTTACTCCTGCTTAGCACTTTAGCCAACACTACTGACAGCCTCTGATATGGTTTGCGGAGCTCTTTTGAGTTGAAAGTAGTGCTGATACTGATGATTTAGCAGTCAAAGCCTGGCTGTGACATCACTAACTGAGATGTGAACAGAAATGCAACATGTGTGAAAAGTCTGAGGTAGGTAGTTACAATAATTTTGTACCCTTGATGGGTAGATTTGATCTCTTAGCATGTCAAATACCAGGTACTCAAAGCTTAAGTGTAATTATAAATCCCTCTGAAGCAGCTGCTGAGGCCTGACCTTCTTTGACTTCCAGCAGCGGCAGTACACAGCCTTGGTGCCGATGTCCTCCATGTCGAAGCTGTGGACCACTTTGGGGCTATCTTTGCTGACCGATGTGTTCACCAGGCCCTTTTTACAGCTCCGCCCGTTCAGGTAATGGCTGACGAGGAAACCTCCGACAGCTGCAACCACTGCGACCGGCACTGCCACTATAAAATGCTCTGGAGAGAGACAGAGAGTGAGTCATGATGTGCCTACAGAAGGCTGCTTTATTGCCAAAATACACCTGTCTGTTTACGGCTCGGTGAAGAAGTTACAGCCAGTTTTTCTTTGTATGCTATAAAATGTGAGTGGACAAAAAATGAGAAACACCTCCCAAATTTATTGCAATTTAAATCAGTGTTACCACCAACCATAGTCTCCATCGTGACCAGAGATGACCTCTCTGACACAGGGTCAACAACAGGCTACACAAAAACAGCATTTACTGCATGTCTAATTTACTGGCTTGTGTTACACAGCAGTCTGAGTGACTTTAGGGTTTATGGTATCCAACTGCCCATATAAGCACTTAATCACTAATCCTATGTAAACTATGGTCTCTGTATGTTTCTGTAGGTCAAGGCTCTTCAAAGCCTGTAAGTCATAATTGCAGTATTTGCTCCACTATTTCAGCCTGTCTACATGTGTTCCACTAAAATCAAATATCCTACCTCACATAGCCTTACTGTACATTACATCAATTTGTGATCTAAACTGGTTCACACTTTGGTTATGCATAGAAACAGAAACTAAATCCTATTTCCAGCTTTCACCAGTTGAACAGAAACAAACGAATTTTAAGGTTTTTGATGCCTCACAGATTTGTCAAGTTTAGAGACAGACTTGTCATCCTGGATCAAGACTAAATCTCTCTCCCTACAGCTTCGCCATGTTGCATCATCAGAGGAAGGGCCTGTCTATTGGATACAGATAAAACTAAATTATGCGCGGTGCCTTTGCGTTGTGACCGTTTTTGCAAGGAGGATTATCCAGGTCCACTGAGCATCACATGATGTCGAGTCCTCAGACAAGAGGACCAGGGGGGCCTGCTGTCAGTCTGGATCAGCAGGTTCAGTGATTAGCTGCTTTGCTAGAGAGGCTAGAGGCAATGATAACTACGATACTCCTACAGTAGGTGATGGGATCGCCTCCAAGTATGGCCTCGGCTGATGGTCCAAACTATTTGAGTGACCGTCTAAAGTTGGAAACACATGTGGCTGGCTGACCAGTTAGCTAGCTGAGTGGCAGTTAGCCAGCTAACGTTAAGGAGCGGCTGTTGATACAGTAGCTGATGAGTAACTCTTTTTTAGAAACTAGATAATTATTTAAAGACATGTGTATTAAACTCACTAGTAGTCTCCATAAAGCCCCGCTGTAGCATACAAAAAATCTTCTACCGTACTGTTAGCTCTTACACGGCTCGGGTAATGTTAGGTCACAGACACGCTGAGTTTACATGGAGTGACAAACGAAAACACAACACGCATTTAATGCTAACATGCTATTAGCTAGCTTCAATACTTTACCTTTTGTTATCGTGAGTCCCGAGCTGGGTGCCTGGGGCAGCGGAGGCATTGGCATCTGTGGCAAAGATGGAAAACCTGGGGTTGACATGTTTTCCGTGGACGGTGTGTTATTTGTGGATAGCGCTCAGCAGCAAGGTCAACCAGGGAGTCTTATCTGAACTCTGTCTGCTCCACAAGCGCCGAGCTCGGCCCTCGGCATCTACGTCACTGTGCTGCAGCCAATCAGGTGTGAGGAGGGGAGAGTGATGCGCTGCCAGAGCAAGATAGTAAACCTCAACGAACTTCCGGCTTCGCTCTAATGCTGTTTTGGAACACTACTCCTACAATTACAATATATCTCATTCATGTTCCATTAATGTTCTTTACCCGCATATTTTAAATATCACGGGTTACACGTTAGCATTTTCGAAGAGCTCGTACTTGTGTTAAATCTTATTTACTTACTTTAATTGTAAAATTCATTCTTAACAGTGAGAACAGTAATTTGATATGTTAGTTTTAATTTAATTTATATACTTTATTAATTCGCCTGAGGGGAAATTAAATTTTTTCAATCTTGCTGTCAATTACACACAGGTCCGAAAGACACACACACACGCACAAACATGAGCTATACATGCACAAAGTGGAGAGATGTTAGAGTGAGGGGGCTGCCCATGTAAAGTGACATTTTAACTTTCATCTAAGTGTCCATATACTGGCTTTTCACGGAGTTTTAGCCAAATTTCACAGCCTCCTATAGCAAATAGTTTGCTCTGCCGGTAGTGCATCCGCAAGCTTAATTAATGAACGTGGGTGCATGATGATAGGTTTCCACTGGAGGAGAATCATCTTGATGGCTGCGAGCTTTGGCGAGTCCCATTTCCCTTTTTCTTGAACCACGTAAATGAGATGACGAACCACAGCAGTCCTTTGTGGATTTAATTTGATAAACTTCCCTTAAAAACTGTGTCCATTTTTTAACAACTATATGTATTAACACAGAATCCCAATAAACTGAAATTTAATGCACTCAAATGACATAAAAGCACCAGCAGAGGGAAACATTATGACCCACCATCATGGACACTTAAACCATTTTGAAACATCTGAAGGAAGAAAAAAAAAATCACTGGAAATTTAAGTGCAATGTCAAAAGGTGACCTCTTGGTATTATATGAAATAATGAATTTTATTTTTCTCTTTAATTCCTTTAAACAGAACAGAAAACATGGAACTACATCTCCCATACTTCTAATCATTACTTCAGAGCAATTCAAAAGAACTAGACATTTCCAAATATCTATTAAGTATTGAACCATCTAACAGTGATACTATGTGGTATTGGCAGGTATTATTCATCCTATGAATTTCCTGTAAAAACGGGTCATAGCTGTGACCTGGCTTCATGTCCCCTTCCGACCTCTGCATGTCATCAAAAGGGCCTGAGAATGAGTCAACACAGGAATCATGGGTTTTTATTACACAGTTTAATCAACACACAAAGCTCAACGAGCCTCTCAGGTAATTCAATATACAGAGGTTTTGTGCAAGAAGAGTGGGTTCTCCTCGCACCCAGAGCCCAAGCCAGTCCCATAGCCATTTAAGATGTTAGCCTCTAATTTAACAATAGCAAAAAACAAAAAAAGAAAACAAAAAAAGAAAAAGGAAAAAAATGCAACCTAAAGAGTTATGGGAGGGGGAGGGGGAGGGGATAAAAACACAGGTTAAACTAAGAAAAATAAATTGCTTAAATACCTGGTCCAGAACCTCCACTTTGTGAATAAAGAAAAGTTGGTGGTAGTGGTAGGGGTGACATGGGGTTACAATTGTGCGTGCATGTGTCTATGTGTGTGTACAAAGGGGTCAACTTGGGTGGGGTGGGAGGAGGGGAGTTAGGAGCAGGAGGTGTGGGGATAAATTCAAGTCCTTTCATAGAATCCAACAGAAGACCAAATAGGCCATGTGCATTTTTTTCCATTTCACATAGCCTGCAATGATTTCTTTTAAGTATTCATTGTATAAAATACAGAGTGCCCTTCGACTCGCGTGCGAAAACAAACTGCTTTCTTGAATTGTACCCTCTACAGATGGGAATTATAAGGAAAACAAAACAAGAAAGGATGCAGAGCGTAAAAATCCCTCCATCTTATTGCCCCCCACTCCCCTAAAAAAAAATAGGGAAATAAAGGAAAAAAAGGTCCCCTCAAAGTTTTACAGATGCTCAAAGGAATGCTTTTAGTGATTAACGTCTGGGGGAGGGTGGGTGAGGATGCAGGTGTGTGTGTAGGAAAAAGGAGGAGTTGGAGAGGGGGCCGCAACAGTCCAACCTGCATGGTGACAAAATGTAACGGAATACAGAAGTCAGGAGACGGGGCCAGAGGTCACGAGGGAGGGAGGAGGAGGTGAAAAAGGAGTAGGGGGAGATGGGTATTACCATTGCAAGTTGACAATATGTACATTGGAGGGTGGGCAGGTGAGCTGAGAGGCAGGAGGGGAGGAGGAGGGTGGGGAAGGGAGACAGAGCCAAACAGAGGGAGAGAAAGAAGAGAGAAAGAGAGGGAGGGAGGAGGTGGGGCAGAGGGAGTTTTACAGGTACTCTGGTGAAGGGGAGGCGTGGCTCAAAGAAAGCACTCCAATGGAAACCAACAAGATCTTGTTTTAAACTTTTCATTTGTTTGAATGGTTTTTTGTTTGTTTTCTCTTTACATCTGAAGCTCCCCTAACCTTATTTCGTAGAGGTGGTTGGCCATGATTCTACCCCAACACTACATTGCATACTTTTGTGTCCATTCCCGAGCTATTTTGTTGTACCTGTGAACAAGCAGAGAGAGACAGAGAAAGAGAAGACAGTTGTTAGCTGTTTAGCCTTGTAAAGACCAACATATTAGGGTTTTGTCACATTTTATTACCAAAAAAAATCTGAAGGGACATTGCGACACTGTCACCTCCAATAATTTCCATGTGTACATCATAAGTTTTGCTGCTATACTTGCAGCAGCAGCAGCAGCAGCAGCAGCAGAGATGCCAGCTGGCTGGCAATCTACAAGGGCACATACAGCTCTGCCATCTTGCACCGATTTTTTCAGCAGGTTTGTTGTTATTTCCTCTTCCCACTGCAGCAAACTGCCAGGAGTCAGTGCTGCTGGCCAATTAGCAACAGGAAGAACAGTTTAAGCACAGATATGGCACAACCAAAATGATAGCCATTCTCACTGTATTGATTATGTTTATTAAGCTTGTTGGTGTGTGTGATATGTCGTACCAGAGGTTGCCAAATAGTACAAAGAGGCAAAAAAATAAAATGTCAGTCAAATTACTGCCTTTCTTTTGCTCCAACACTGTACACAGAGTATTGGCAGTGTTGCTGCAGTGGTACTGCTGCAGCGCTGCCTGCTAGTTCAACTACTGTATTTCCATAATTAAAAGTCGGTCTTTTGACAACATGGTCCTGCACATATTTCACAATAAAAAGCTTTTTTTGTGAACAAATGAAGGGAGTTGTCCACAGAAACATTGTCAAAGTGCTTTTATTTTGTAGTGGAAACACGACATGAGTTAAAAATAAATATTTATATTTTCTCATGCCTGTAACAAATAAAGACACTGTACTGAAAAGTGTTATGATGTCAAATTGATTATCAAAAAAATGTTCACTTTCTATTTTTGCTGAAACCCAGACGTCATGTGGAAAAAGTAGGTTAGACTCCTGTTCTCTAGACGCTCTGCAGCTGAGTAGCAGCCATGCTGCATCTGAGCAATGCTGCTCCCGCAGACAGTGTGGCCTGGGCGTAGGAGGAAGACTGTGACCTTTGTGAATGTGATGTATACTCTAAATACGCAGGGACGCACTCTGTACGGCTTCATTGGATAAAAAGATCAACTGGTAATTAATAGTCACACAATACCAGGGTATTTAATATGCTATAAATGAATTTATTAATTTATTCGGCATATTTCCCACCAGATATTTTGGCTGCTGATATTTTCATCTGCTGGACAAGTGCATGCAACACTGTACATTATGCAAGTCACAATGCAATATTATTGTGATTTTAAACATTTTACTATGTCACATTATGCAATATAGTGCGATCTATTACCTTTTCAACTGTAAATTACATTCCCAGAGGAAAAAAAGGGTCAACATTTGTTTTATGTAACAAAATAAAAATCTCAAGTCAATCACTTTTATTGCAGCAGAAATGTATCTAACTGATTCAAAATTGATTTTATTATTCTGGTAGGCTACCAAAAGTTTAATTCGTATGTGCAATATTAATTAGATAATCAGACAGACACTTGGTGACTGAGGATCAAAACAATACTGCCACACAAATGTATTGTTTTTTTGCCCCCTACTCCTAACTGTAACTGGGCGGAGGCTGTGAGTAATGTATCTTATATAATCGTGTGTAAGGAAGAGAGAAAAAAATATATAATATAATATAATATAATCGAGTATTGATAAAAAAAATAAATCTTTGGATAAGAAAATGCATGAACCACAGACACATATCAAATCTAAGAGCTCAGTAGAGGATTATTTTATCAATGAATCACATTTTTGTATATTACCATTTTAAACAGCTGCATCTTGCTATCATATCTTTCACCAACAAATAAATCACACTGAAGTGCAAACTGAACTGTAGCAACTGTGCAGCGGCAGCAATCTAAAATTTCATGCTCAAATTGTATGGATCAATTGACCAGCCATGATGTGGGTTCTCACAGATAAAGGGACACTTTGCCAATTTTCAACCAGCTTTGAATCACATATCAGTGTGGGTACTATGTGTAAATGGTGTGTGGTAAACTTCCCCCCCACCTTGCCAGGGCCCAGATCTCCCTGCTCATTTGCAACAAAAAACCGCCAAATGACACATTTTGATTTTAGCATTTTAGGTAACTGTCACATGCAATTCAAGATCGTTTGTTACCAGTTGGCCACCAAATAGGTTTCTGACAAGCCAAAACCAAGAACCGCTCAACTTGCATTACATCACCCAACAGCAGAAGCATTTATTGGTCTAGTGCAGCACAGTGCATTCTGGTAGTTGTAGGGTTTCTACCTCTTGAGCAAAAGCGAATTCCACAGCCCTTTTTCTTTGTGATCTCTGGTCATACAGCACCAGTGTCAAAGGTATTTGCATCTTTGTTCTGCACAGACAGCCTAGTAAGGTTTATTCAAACAAGACCGCTGCATCCCCAATGTTGTAAAAAGAGAAAAAGGCAGCAATACTTTGTGCAATTCTACTGTTAATGGAAGAACACAAAGAAAATACGGCACCATAGATGACTGGAAGATGTAGATAATGCAACTATAATATCTCCAGTGAAGTTCAGTTTTATATCACAGCAGTCTCGCGACTACAGTTTTAGCCACAACAGGTAAAATATTACTCCAGTATATTAGAACAAGCTCAACACATTTAATAACAAATCTTGTAAAGGCCAAAACACACCGGCGCTGTACGACGTGTGTCAAAACAGCCGCCCCCATTATTTTCTATTTACAAACCCACACCGGCGGCGGCTCGACGCGCTGTGGCACTTTACGCTATTGTCCCATTTTTCCAGTGTCACCGCCCTTGAAAAAGTGCTATTTTGTACTTCCCAGCCTAGCGGACTGGAGTGTGCAATAGAAATCCGGTTGACGCCCTGCAGTGCGATGCTTTTTGTGTGTGTTGGGGGTGACACTTGACTCGCGTCAATGACAACGCCGTCATATGACGCCGCCGGTGTGTTTTGGCCTTAACAGTAGCCATGCAGGAAATCAGACCGTGGTAACGCTCAAACTGAGACCAAGACCAAAATTTTCGGACCTGCCAGAAATCCATCTGAGAGCCGGATCATTGATCATTCAAGCGATTAACTAGGCACAAAGCGCCCCCTCAGTCTGCATGAAAGATGAAAACTGATCTGCCAGAAATTTACCTTAATTCAGGTGACCGATTCAGCGCTAAAAGCAGGCCTAATACTTACAGTGTCTGTGTTACATTAGAACATCCTGTATGTTTCTAAAGCCAGTTTCCATAATTTAACCTGCGATGGCACATGATTAAAACCAGCTATCCTTGTGTATGTTGGCTTTCAAACAATGTAGAAGTCAACATCACAGAAGTTTGGCTAATTGGTGTGAATTTTGTTAAATTATTCTGAAATCAAAATCAAAATTTTTGTTACCTCCCCTATGATTGCTGCACACTCAGTGCCAATAACAATGTTTTGAAAATCAAATATGATGGAGTCTGTCCATCAGTAGCCAGTTTGTGACGCTGACTGTAATCAGAACAGGCCATAGCATAGCTCCCCCGAGGCCCGTCTGACACTTAAAAGAATACCCCCAAAGTGACAATTTGTATATCAATTACTCACTGCTTGTTACATTGAATTCGTTAAGAAAACTTTGTTGTTTTTGCATGCCTCCACGGTGAATGGAGAATCCAAAAACAAGGAAACATTCTTTATGAATTTAAGTCACTGGGGACCACATTTACCAGAAGCAATACTTTATCAAAACACCCTTTTACAAACACTTACCCTCAGCAGTATAATACAAGTTTTATTTATCCAGTTGTATGAGCAGTACTTTCCAAACACATGCATTTTTGCTAAAACGTTACCATATAAAACACTTAGGAGCGCCTAGGAGCAGCATACAAACTGACTGTTTGTACTAACATGTTTTGAATGTAATATTGTAGCAAAAATGCAGGTGTTTGGGATTTACTGAGCATACAACTGGATAAACGTTACTTGTACTATACTGTAGGAGTTGTGTGAGAGTTTGAAAACGGATGTTTTGATATAGTTCTGCTGTGGTTAAACGCGGCCCCCGTTTATTTCAATTCATGAAAATGTTTGCTTTTTTTTGACTCTCCGTTCACCATGGAGGCATACAAGGAAAAACTAGCTTTCTTTTTTCCAAAGCATCATGTTGGCAGGAGCCATGGAAACAAATCTGAATACACCCAAATGATGCAAAAAACAATGTGAAGTTGATAACTTACTTTTCCCTGTCCGTCTTGTAGATGCGGGCGATCTCAGGTACTAAGGGGTCATCCGGGTTTGGGTCACACAGCAGAGAGCAGATGGACAGGAGGACTGGAATGGACCAGTTTACCAATCAGTATTCACAAATAAAAACAGGCATTTTCAGAGTTCATGTCACTTTCCTTCAGATGAGCCTTGGATGTAAGTCACGCAGACTACTCATCACAGCTCTAGCACTGTTGATAATATGTGGAATTGGGGTTTAAAAAGAAAAACCCTTGTGCATGAGGGACACCACTGTAAACAGCATGTCCAGTAATAAGCACTGAATGAAAAGGGCTAAAGCTGACATTTACAGAGAGAGTACTCCAGTTTAATACAAGGACCTCTGTGTGAGAAATGTTGCAATGTATTGTTTGTGGGAAGCATTTCCATCTAAAAAGGAAACCAACATGTTTCCCCGGTTTTTTCATTCTCGCCACACTGTTTATAAAGGCAGTAGCATCTGCCGTCTATCTGGAACCATATGTGCAGTTAAAAGTTTGAAGGCCGGTAAGAAACAAGTCTACCTTTGGAGATGGTGAGAGCCGGAGACCACTGTGATCGCAGAATGTCAAGACAAATGCTGCCGTTGCTGTTGATATTTGGGTGGTAGATTCTTGTGGTAAATGCAACCTGAAAACAGACAGAGAGAAAAGAAGTGGGGGGGGGGGGGGGGGGGGGGGGGGGGGGGGGGGGGGGGGGGGTGAGAAAGAGGGGCAGGTGAGAGGAATAACAGGAAACTGAATGATGTAAAACTTTGGCATGTTTTAGCAGGCAGTAACAGCGAGGCACATAGAGTGCCTCGCTATTACTATGTTTATGTATTCTGTTTCTTTGTATGCGTCTATGTGTTTGCTTACCTTTGGCGGTTTGAAGGGGTAGTCTGTGGGGAAGTGTATGGTCAAGAAGAAAACCCCGCTCTGGTAAGGACTGTCATTCTAATGCAAGGAGAGAAGCCCAGTCATCTCATTACTGACTGAAGTGCAAGGATGACAAATAAATACCCACAGATGGGATATGAAAATTAAAAGCTGGGGCTGCTGTCGTATGACTAAAAGTTGATCTTCTTTTTAACAAATGTATTAAGTTGTAGATTCGGTTTACTTAGCCCTATCAGATATTGTGTTTAAGTTGTTTGAAGAACACATAAATTCAAAGTCAAGATTGCAGGGTTTTAGAGTAAAACAACAACATTGTGTCACCACATATGTAACTGTTATTTCCCAGCAAAAACTTAAGCAGAAGTCGTGACTTAATCAGTACAACATAATAAGTGAATACTTACAGGTCCCATTATTGTGGCTTGCCAGTGAAACACTGCAAAAAAACAGAGACATTGGTTATGAAACACTGAGAACACAACGCATGGCCCAAAAGTGTTAGAATAAATAATGCCACACGAAGTGTGCCTGTTTATTTGTACAGTTGAGTAACAGGCTCTTACATGAAGTGCAACCCAGGACAGATATTCTTGGAGGCGGCATTTTTTAAATAAAAGGGAACCTGTTTATAGTGGTCATGGTCAAAGCAATCAACCACTTGTGTGTATGGGAAGGCTGGGGACAGAATGATTCCTATACAAATGCTGTTGAAATAATTTGCTTTTAATAATCAAATAGTACACTTACAGTTTTCACTTTGGGTTTTTCATACATGACAACATGTGGGAAAACTATTTAAAACTTCTTTAATCTTATACTTTAACACAATATCTTGCCTCGCGGTAACCCGTCTGCCTGAGGCAGATGCGGCATACACATTTAAATCATGACGAGAAAAACAAAGTTATTTTCTCTCAATAAAAAAAGCGTAGTCTCCTCGAAGCTTATGGCTGCTAGTGATGGAGACGGAAAACAAATGCACATCAGGAAAGCCCCTGTGGTTGAATTTGCCTTCGTCAGGTGGGTCGATAACGTCTGCTCACGTAGAACCCATGTAATGACAAAGCTGTCCTGTACTTTTAAACAGTCAATAAAATTCAGTAAATAGAAAAGCTGTCCATTTCATTACTTTATATTCATGTATTAATTAAATATACAAATATCAATTTTCTGCACAAGAAAAAAATACAATAATCTGTTACAAAAATCATGCGCTTATAGTGATCAGTTTGACCTGGATAGGTGTGATAAGGGGCCTATGAGGGGTTTCCACAGTAGTAAATGCTCAACAGCCATATAATGGTAGCAGACTCACATTGCTTCTTAAATGAATAATATCAGAATTACTGTTTGAGCGGAAACTGCTATCCTGACACGAGGTATAATTCTAAAAAGCTTGGACAACACACATTGTGACAACAAAAACAAACCATCAGAATTTGAATTGGCAGCATTTAAACCTGTCTAATTCAAGCTTCCTGTTGAGGTCTGAGGACAAATGTCACATTGAAAAAAAAAAAGAAAATAAACCACAGCAATTATGTTACGAGAAACACTTTCTTGTAGTTTATAGTGGAGCGGTTTATTTGATGTTGGATGGCAGGAAGTGACATGTACAGCACAATGTTGCTGCTGTTTTGTCTGTTCTGATCATGCCACACACATGCTAAAGATGTACAAATATGCTGAGTCTAACATCTTAAAAATAACAAATGAATTGGGAGTAAAGAGGGTAATTTGGAGCTGATCTCCATTTTGGATGAGTTTTAAATTGTCAGATTTCTTAGATTTGTTTTAAATCTCGGACGCAAGCAGTTAGTCTTATCAATGCCTGTACATTGGTGTGATTTAATCCCTGGACACACACTCTGCAGAATACATGCAGCTTTCACATTTAAATGGCACAAAAAGCTGTTCAAATATGCCTGTTTATCAGTTTATAAAACTGATTTAAAGCTAGGACGCTTAAAGCACTCATATGGTTAAAGATTTGTTGGTAATGACATTGAAAACAAGTTACTGGATGTCACTGGGACACAAGCTACATGTTACTTGTTTAATGTTAACACTAATTGTCTCGAAGACTATGTTTTTTATACATGAAGGAAAGATCTCTCACCACTGTATCAGTAAACCAGGATAATGTGAACCCTTACACGAGGTAAAATGGAGTTTATAACTTAAATATGGCAAATCAACTGTACCACAGCTTTCACTTTGCAAAACTGTGTTAGATTCACAGGACTATTTCTTCATGTATAAACCAAATTTCAAAATGCATCACCACCACAGACAAGGAAGTGACTACTTAACAATGAACACAGTAAAAGACCCTCACGTCACAGCATTTAAAGTTTAATGCTATGTTGCTTTTGAAAAAGAACAACAAAGAATTGACAATCAAATATCTACAAGAATAACAGATTGAGCCAAACAGAACGTGACTGTGGTGATGATGAAGAGCACAGTTTGGATTCTGAAAACATGTAATCCTCGTGCCTACATTGGGTGAGTAGCAACATATCTCTGTTACCTTTGTCGCTACTATGTTAATAGCGGCAAGCTACCTTCAGTCAGAATAGATTTGGCTCTCAGTCAACACGAGGGTTCATGTTTGGGTTACTTACAGTGAGTGGTACAAAAAACACCAGGGAGGAATAATGCACCTGCCAGTATAAACATCAGCTCATTGAAAGTAGATCACCAGAGCAGAACAATAGTCATAAAAATACCCACCAATGAAAACTGCACATCTCCTTCAACATGAAGATGAAACTATATAAGCTAGTTAAAAGCTGTCTTTGTCTGTGCATTGTGCTGAATAAGTAAAATTCACAAGACTTGCAGCATGTTTATTCTTTGGCCTAAAGCCTTTTTAGGTCCTATTACATATAACGTGTCATATTTTATTCTCCTTATATATAATAAATATAAGATAGCCAAGTAGGTATGGTTGGGGGAAAAATAAAACATAGATCAGCTTTTCAAGTTTATGCAGTCAAAACCAGAATTTGGAACGTTCATTATATTGTGCCCATCCCCATACACACAAATACATTAAACAAACCTAACCAAAACTATCAGACTACCATAGCAGGCTTATTATACTATCAGAAAAAACCCATCCCAAATCGATTGTTGCTTGATCATTTTAAAACAATATAAAGGTCAACGTATATTCTAAAACGCTGCCTGGAAACAAAGAAAGGTTTAGGATGCCTGAATTTATCATCCAATGAGACTTGTTCTTGTGGTTTCTACCATGTAAGACACACTTAAACTTAAGTCGCACCATCATGGCCTGTAGAACAAGAATATCAGAGTGGAGACACAGGTGGCTGGCTGGGATTTTAAAAGGGAGAGCTTTGAAGTGCTGGTTGCAAGAGATAATCACAAAGACACACTGTGTACAGCCAGAAGTCTTCTAAAATACAGTAAATTGTAAATATTGTTTTTTTCTTAAAACTAATAATACTTTCAGGGTCCTCTGTCAACATACAGTGACAAATTTAAAAGCTAACCTGTCATTAACTGCAGTCCTGGTGGGATAATATAAAAAAGCATTAAGATGCAATACGTGTGATACCAGGGCTGTTCTGAACACCAGTTTTTGGACATTGACGCTTCAGTGAAAAAAATCCGCTATTAATCAAAGCTTTGATTGATGGTGGGGGGGTAAGTGAGAGACGAGAACATAAGTCAGGCTTTTCTCCAATGGCAGTATTCCATTTATCCACCTAAAATACAATTAGCCACTTTAATAGCATGCAGGTCGCATTAACAGGAAGCCAGAATTTTTTTTTTCTTTGCAAGATGGCTACGCTGTTACTTACAGTCCTCAGGTGATATGCCAAGCTCGTTGTAAATTTGTGATATGCCAGTTTCCTTTGACATATCTGGAAATTGACTTTTTGGGGGGTCGTCCTCACAAATACTGAAACTATTCCTAATGCTAACGCTAGTTAGACTTGTACTGACAACATTTGAGATTAAATATTTCCAAGGAAATATCTACAGTATTTATGAAATACAATTAATCACATGTACTTTAGTTAACAGAAAAATTCAGTTCATGAATGCTTTCTGAACTTTACTTTTGGGTCAGTCTTTACCGGATAAAACTGTCTTACGTGATTAATGAATAAAAATCACAGTCTGCATCTACTCCCATGTTGGAAAACAATTACACACTAGCCACATGAGAATTCCCCTTATATGTGCCCTGAAAGCAAAAGTGAAACAGACATGTAGCAAAAGGGTTTAGAATACTATGCTTTTATAATAACCCAGTATTTTCACATAAGGTAGTCCAGGTATTTCCTGGATCTGCTTGCTCAAAAAACAGAGCTACTTCCTTAATTTAGTTAAATGCACTGGACTCCACACATCAAGTCAGCACCTTCACTGATGTTTGCAATTTCTTTTCAAAGTTTCAAGACTTCAGCATGGACACGTTATGTATTTAAGCTGCAGTCTGTGGTAATCAGAATATTGCAGACAATTTTTCACATCTAAACTAAACACATTAATCAAACAATTTAACCCAAAGGGTTAATTCAGCGCTATCTTGGATGGTGAAAGATTTATCCTACATATTCTGTAATGAATTAGACTGTAAGATTTTTCTTTCTGTGTCATTTGTGAGTATTTTAACCAATTAATATTTATGTATGCTGGCTGAGCTGTATTTTAAATGATCTGGCATAAATAAGGGAGGGGTAAACCTGAAATTTGTTTCAAGAGTACTGCTTTTTTAAGCCCAAACATACACATCTACCAGGACAATGTAATTTTAGATTTTTAATAACCCATATGGGTTATTAAAAAATTAATTTTGAAAAAAATGGGAAAAATGCAACTGTTTCATCTTTAAGTGAAAAGGTATTCAACTTTCCACTGCTCCTGAAAGCGGTGGCCCTTGCTGTCAACTTTACACTTCTTTGCTGTGGGCATATGTGCTACATGATTGGTGTGCTGTTAAGTACCTGTTTGTTTGCTTGTTTAGTCTGTTTATGAAAACACACTGCACATGCTACTTGGCGCATGCCTGCAAACGGTATGATAGTCCTGGCATTGTGAGGTGAATGGAAAAATGCAAAGTGACCTCGCCTGATTAACCAATACTGTGTGGCAGACCACATGTGGTATGTTTTTTACAGAAAAGTTGTCAGCTGTTAAAAATCTGTCCACGGGTCACGATTGACCCCAGGGCTGGCCTTTGGACATGCCTGGTTCAGATGATGAACTTACTGTCATCTCCTACTGGTCCTGCAGAACACTGGGCTGGCGGATCCCGTGCCAAGTCGTTCAACTCCTGAGACAAACAAATGACAAGTCAGTTGATCAGGTCCTACACAATGTGGTGCAGTATTTCCACAAACAATTACCTGCATAACAGATATGGGGAGGCCAACACAAAAACATAACCAAAAATGAAAATCCTGGCAACAGATATTTTAATTATCTGCTAGTAATAATCTGATGTTTTTTTTAAATACCACTTAACAGGCCCAGCATGAGCCCTCTGTGTAGTTGCCTAGATCATTGTTTGTAAACAGATATTAAGGCCTCTGCAATTACTACAAAGTCTCACTGCAACGGTAGCAACACTAAAAGCACTACCTAACCTCACTAACATAACAACACTACAGTAGCACCGTGAGCTTTGATTACTGAAGTGACCGCTATTACATAATAGCATTTCTCCAGGTAGAGCGGGTAGTACATGTGACAGCCAAACTGAGATCACGACGATAACACAACAGAGGTTTTACTTTCCCGAAGACAATCCGGTACACGGTGTGTAAGCTCGTTGTGTGTAACCCTGTGTAACGTTATGGTGCAAACGTTAGCTTAGCGTCAATGGTTGGAGCTCTGGTTCGACAACAGCAATCGATGTCAAGGCATAGAAACATAATGCTAGCTGGTCAGCCACATTGTGACGGGCTAAAGTTACTACTGGAGTCATTAACAACAAGACAAAACACAAGATCCAGCTAACTCAAGCAAACAAACTGTATAGTAATGATCTGCTGCTCGCCTGCCGTCACCAACATGGCATCAAAGGCGAACAACGCGTGGGGCCTGTTTTTACCACAGCGACACAGAGCTAACTGTGTCACTAGCGTTTCCCTATACGTTACTCGTTTGTCGAGTATTAACAATTACAATGCAGAATACAAACAATAACGCGCATATTTTTCCGTGACAGCTTGAAATGCCTTGAGGTTATGCATTGCGGAGACTGTATAACGTTAACGAAAAAACAGGGATTAGAAATACGATAGCTTCAGTTAGGTTACATCCATCCTTATTCCTGGGCTGCTACAGTTATACATAACGTTACAGGCAAACATTAAAAACATCGAAAATTCATACATTTAACATCACAGAGGAGAAAGAAATGATTAACCAGTGGTCAAAATAAGCGCGAGAGTGCTATTAAATTAGGCTAACGCTAGCGTCACCGCTAGCCGGATAACTTATCTGTCAAATCAAGGAGCGAGCGAGCTTAGGTAACGTTAACTGTAACAAAAAATATTAGCTAACTTGACTAACGCATGGGGGAACTATTAAGGAGATACTCGACAGCATAAAACACCTACAAATAGTAACTTAGGTTACCGTTATTTTACTGTAAAGATGTGCCGTTACTGTAGTAAGCTAGCTTGATCAGAGGAACCCTTTAGCTTAGCCGAGTTAGCATACCACCGGGATAGATAATGTTAGCCAGAACCAGCTAACACTATGCCAATACCATTCCGTTAAATAGTTAGCGGCATAGCTAGCTAAAACATTCTGTCATGTCCAGTATTAATTATATCGATGGGGAACATATGTGACATAACCAAGAACAACATTCATAACGGTAACTTGTAGCTAACGGTTCAGTTGGCCCATTTGTAGTAGCACTGGTGAACACAGGCAGGCGGCGCATTGCTGCTCTCACTGTCGTCACTCGCTATTCAGGGACCGTTAGCTGGCAGTTGAAACCAAGCCTGAGTTATTTAGGCAATATTTTTGTAGTATTCTCAGTTTAATAAACCCGACAGACCGGCGTCAGATGGACAACCTTGGGATTAAATCCCCAACGAAACTGCGAAATCCCGGGCCTCGTCGTTCACTTCCTTACCTTGTGAATTCTTTTCAGAGCCATTGTTGTGCTAGCGCTTCTGTCAGGGAAAACGTGCGATTAAAATGGCGATTGGTATCACTGTCCGTTGATAATACTACGAGTTAGTTATCATAGAACACCGTTACTGTACACTCAATTTACTGATCGCTAACAGAAAGCACCACCGATAAAATTTCGAGACGAAACTGAAAGATAGAAGGGGTAGAACCGCGGTCCTTCCTCCTACTGCAGCGGCTACCAAATCACTGCGGCCTGTGTTCTGCCAGCAGCAACAACGACAACACTTCCGAACTCAACTCTTCACAACAAAAGCACCATCGCCATTGACACAAACTGATTTAACATTAAAGGGGGAATATCATCCAAATTAATAAATCAAGTTTGTTTTTTCCATGGCCTAGGAAAGTTCAGTCAATATTTGTGAACATGAGCTACCCTCTCTCAAAGCTAGAAACCAGACAAGTCTCAAACGTGTGATGTCATCAAGTATAAAGTCTGGAGCTGCTCTATAGACAATGAATGGGAGACTGATTTTGTGGACCCACAGAATGTTTGTTTTCTTTTTTACACCCAAATGAGCTTTATTCTATTGTAGAATTCTCTATTCTAAAACAGAAAATGTACCCATATACTCAGAACATTCCCCTGGCTGCACTCAGTGTCATCTAAAACATCTATTGCCATCCATTATCTGTGGAGCAGCTCCAGACTTTATACCCAATGACATCACAAAATTTGAGTTTTAGGATTCTAGTTTTTGGTTTTGGGGAGAGTTGTTTGTGTTTACTCAAATTTTTTGAACTGTCTTAGACCACAGGAATAACATGTATGAACTTTGAAAATGGGCATAATTCCCCTTTAAGTTTACACAAAACCTCACAAATTATATTTGAAACGATCCTGCTTGACTATATTTTATACTTCATTCTCAAACTATGAATTAAATTACTATAGTTGAAATAAATGGCAGGCCCTCAAAATCAGTCACACTGTACAATTCCTCTGCAACTGTACTATAACAAAAAAATGTTCATTTTAGTGATTCAGTCTCCTTAGGCTACTTTAAAATGCTGTCCTGAATGACTATTATGTGCAATCTCCACTAAGAATAACATGTTACTGGGCTGCAAGTAACCATTGTTGTCATCATTAATTAATCTGACTATTATTATCTCATTACTTGTTTGGTTTATAAAATGTCAGAAATAGGGAAACTACCCACTGCATTGTTTTGAGAATCCGAAGTGATGACTTGAAATGACTGGTTTGGCCGATCAAATGTCCAAATCCCTCGCACAGTAAGTTTGCAATGATATAAAATAGAGGGAAGCAGCAACTCTGAGTAGTTCAAAGAATGTTGGCACTTGAAAAATAAATGATTAATCAATTATTTAAATAGCTAATTAATTTTCTCGATTAAGTCGACTTATTGTTTCACCTTTATATATTATAACATGTTTATTCATTTTTCAGAGCCAAATGGATTATGTGTAAATTATTTCGTGTGTATGGCGAAAATATAAAATTGCTTTAATACCCTTTGCAACATTTTTTAAAATTGAACACTATGTTTTTATTCTGAAGGCTTGCCGCCCGAGCCGGAAGTCTTATTGTTGGAGCACAGCGCTACCGCTAGAAAGCCTTCCGCCGACATGAGCACGTAGAGGGCGACCAGTGCACGCTGGAGACGTAGTACTGCAACTGGCATCATTGTGGCTCCGGGCATGTGACGGCAAGGCTGTGTTCACATGGGTCGTGAAGAGCCAAAATGTCTACCATGCACGTATTTTGCATAAGGTAAACTCCAGGGAACCTGTGCTAAGACGGTTTATTACTACCCCTACAATGTCATGTACATAGTTAGAGGTAGTGGAATGGATGTGGTTACACATTTTTCCGATTCGTTGACTGTATTAATCGATATAATGACAGTTTTAGAGTCAAACTGATGAAGAGCTCCGCGCGGAGTGATACGATTACAAAGACTTGTGATCGCGAGATCCAGGGCACAGGAGACAATTGTAGGCTCTTTGAGGAAGTGTAAGATAAACCAACAGTAACTACGAACTGTACGAATGCTTCATGCAACTGTAAGTTTTGAATATGTTGAAACGTATTTCTCTTACTCCTGGAGTGTATGTCTCAGGGTGTTATGTTTGTGTAGCATATAGTGCTCTTCCTTCCGTTAGCATTTGTCCAGCCAGCAGGCTGAAGGTAAAGGTATACCTTAAAAGGTCAAAGCGGGTCACAGTAACTGAACACGGATATCTCAACCTCCATCCTCTACCTCTAATAATCTCAACACGTCTTTCTGAGGGTGAAGCTATAACGTTTGAAGCTATTTTTTTGTTTATTACAGTGATGGAAAAACAAACAAATGCAAACACCTTACATGCTCACCTTCAGTTCTCCCTGGCACGTGCCCTACCTGCAGTGGTGTACAGAGAATAAACAATAACAGTCCTATTCCCAAACTCACATGTTCCATACAGGAATACACACAAACACATAGATTACAACAATACTCAATACAAATTTGAATATTAATTCAGTCAGAAAAACACCAGCAGTAATTTCTATCACACAATCACTGCACAACTGTCAAATAAACTTGATAAAATGAAATAAACCCCGCAAATATTGCTATGTTCATATTAACATTGCAGCCCATAATATACCAGGTTATAGCAGGACACATTTATAACTGTTAATTTATTTGAGAACACATTTAAATTTAAAATAAGTTATTCCAAATGAATTGAGTCCATATATATTCAAGCAAATGATTATATCAGTATTTATCTCGTCATCTCTAATGTCTGATCACTTCTGTCGAACACTGCAGAAACTCTTAAGAAGTGGATCAATTTGTCATTGATTACTCCTCAGGTCTGTTACACCACAGTAGACGTTCTGTATACTAACAGGCTGTACATGTGAATGTTTTCATCCTATTCATAATTGTTCTTATGCCCTTATGAAATGCGTGAACAGTTGTCAGATGAAGCAAAAAAAAGCTAAAGTTGTGTGAAAAGGCCAGAGGGCTTGACACCGTTGCCATTTAAATAAAGATTTGATGTTATATTTTTAGATTTCCAAAGCATTGGTCTCCCCTGAAATCTTCACATCTTCCTTTTCATCCTCCATTTTTGCACTCGGGATCAGAATACATAACTCATAGCACTTGTGTTGGTAGCAGTAGTTTGATAATTAGTAGTAGCATATTACTGTAAAATTCAGAGATCTAAGATTTCACACAGGGGCGTTTCCCTACACAGACCTTATTGGAGTGGTCGCAACATTTAAAGAACATTTCCACAGCATACATATGTTTGTTTGTTTGTTTGTTTTTAAAAGAAGTTTTTAGTATGTATTTTCCCATCCTGCCCCTTTTCATGATACATGTTTTAACAGCACTTAAACAGCATGTGGCAAAACGCTTTCCATCCTGTTTCCCTTATCCTCTGTATTTTTCTCTTGCATATGCCAAGTTAAAAAAAAAACAATTGTACTCCCCAAAATGAAATAAATATACCCCTTATAAAGTACACAATTACAATAATACCTAAGTGTAACCCAGTTTTTCATTTATAAATAGATTCCTAATGCCACTATTAAACATGTCTAGATTTCTTCATTAACACTCAGTGTACCTCTCAAAGTGTATGTTATTATTTCCAGTCTCATACAATGTGCCAAATATTTATCCCAGACACCGATGTTTGGCATGTCACCTTTTTTTTCCAATTCGGAGCAAACAGTACTTTTGCTTATAATATACACATTTATAAATGTACATTATTTTGCTCCCAAAATCCAGATGGTAAAAGTGAAATCAAAACACCTAGACATGCATGAGATACATAGTCTACCATTTTTAAAGGGTGTGTGTGAAAATCTTACATAGCTAAAGTTTACACTGAGACATTGCAGTTTCCATAACCCCCTGTATTTCCCCTGTAATGTTGTCTCAAATTGTCAAAGACTTGATTAGAGAATACTAACTCTGAACATATGAAAAATAGTATTCATAAGAGTTCATGAATGTGTTTTAACTGTAACAGCTCTATAGTTCTGAGTTGTTACCTGATCATATGTAACAAGAACTTTTTGTTCCTAATTAATTAGCATGAAATTCACAGGTGCAACTAATGTCACTAATGACAGCTCTGTTCCTTATAAGTGTATCAGAAAGTCTCGGCAGTGAGCTACAATTAATAATATCAGGACCCTGGAACGGACGCATGAACAGAATATGTCCTTAGTTTATGTTAATAATTACACCTGTGCTTGTCCTGCTGTAAAACAGGCCAGTAGTAATCTTGGTGTGTAGCCCTGTTTTATTTGTCAATGATGAAGTAACATCTGCTTACATTAAATTGCAAAAACGAACACGGGACAATAAGAACAGTATTTGGTACAATGTTGGATTAAAACAGTTGCATGAGAATGAATAGTAATTAGGGCATATGGTTATTGAGACTTGGATGTCAGCTGCCTTCACAAAGTGTTGTTTTTTTATTTAATACATATTATAAACTTCTTAAATCTTTCCCCTGACATATAACCTCCATATTAAAATTAAAAACAAAAAACTAATACTGAAACAAATAAAAACTACACTAAAACAAAAAAGAAACAAAAAAAAAATAAAGAAACTGAAATGAATCTAAATTAAAAACACAAATTAGGCTAATTAAAAATAAAAGCTAATGTTAACTATTCTGTCTTGGTGGTCAAACACTTGTCTTGTGTTTAGATATTTATTATTCTACAAACCAAACTCCTGTCAGCCTCTAATATACTCAAAGTTTAATGCCAATACAGAATGCTAAAATTAGCATAATGTTAGCATTAAAGATTCCTCTGCTTGTGTAGATTTTTTTATGTGCACATTTTCAAATTATTCTCATGGCCTGGGTCCTTGTTTTTACAGTAAAATAATTGGACAGTACCAGTGAATACTGGTGCAGTAGGCTATACATGTTGGTTTTTATTCATCTCAGTGCTCTTAAAAGAGCTATCTTCACATTAACTGAACACATGTTGAATTTGCAACAAGCATATTAGCTTGCACATACAACTTGCAACACTGTGGAGAAGAATTTAGGAAATACTAAATTTCTGTCTTCTTTACTTCCAACAATTATTACATTGCTCTTGTTGGCATTATATTTGAAGTCAAAATCAGCACCGTAGTTTGAGCTTCTTCAACAGATGTTGTAGACCAGCACTATACAAGCTGGAGATTACCAAATCA